GCACAAGGATTGGTGCTGGGACCACTGTTGTTTGTCATTTACTAAATGATTTGGATGAGAATATAGGTTAGTAAGTTGCAGATAACACACCAAAAGTAGTGGTACAGTGGACAGTGAAGAAGATTATCTAAGAGTACATGATCTTGAACAACTGGGTCAGTGGGCCAAGGTATGGCATATAGAGTTTAATTTAGATAAATGTGAGTTCAGTTTAGGAAACTGGTCAGCATGTATGAGTTGGGCCACAGGGTCTATTTCTATGTTGTATTACTCTATGACTCAATGTTAGTATTTTGCCTTTGCACACATTTTGGTATCATGACTGCTATCACAAGGAGAATGGCAGTTGGAGGTCCTACTGTTCATCTATCAAAGTGAAATCTGGTCACCTATCTGCAGACATGTGGGTACTAGAGATCAGGCTACCCTCCTTCAAGGTAAATTTAAACCGAACCTTGTGCCAAGGGTTTCTTACAGAAAGTGTTGGAGATGCACTGTGGATCTGGCAATATCTGTGGAGGTAGAAACAGAGTTAATACTTCAAGACCATGATGACTCTTCTTCAAAACTCTAAGTACTCGACTCAAAATGTTAACTCTGTTTCTTTCTCCACAGATGCTGCAGGACCTGCTGAGGTTTCCTAGCACTTTGTTTTATTTCAGATTTCCAGCAGCTGCAGCAGTTTTCTTTTAATAATAGTTGTAAATGATGCTGTAGAAAAAAAAACTGTCACAAAGATCTCTTATGTTACTGGGTAAGTATTAGTACCCTGTGTTTCTTCAAACATGTCTTCAGGGATGCTAGGATTATTTATAAAGCAATATGAAATAGGAACAGAATTAGGCCATTCAGGCCACTGAGTCTGCTCCACCATTCGATCATGGATGATATGTTTCTCAACCCAATTCTCCTGCCTTTGCCCTTGATCCCCTTACTAATCAAGAACCTATCTATCTCCATCTTAAGTACACTCAATGACTTGGCCTCTACAGCCTTCTGCAGCAACAAGTTCCATAGATTCACCACCCTTTGGCTGAAGAAATTCCTCCTCATCTCAGTTCAAAAGGGTCACCCCTTTACTTTGAAGCTGTGTTTTTGGGTCCTAGTCTCTCGTACTAGAGGAAACATCTTCTCCACATCTGCTCTATACAGACCTCCCAGTATACTGGAAATTTCTATGTCGTAATGTAAAGGTATAGTCCCACCTTTATTCTTTGGGACACTAAGCAGCATCCTGTGACCACACTTGCTTCTTCTGCCCAGAGGGTGTATATGATGGGCCGAAGGGCTAAAATTGATGATATTCGACAGCTGCATGACCTTGAATAAGTCTTGTGAACATTCCTGTACGTGCCAAAGACGGCACAATCAGCTTGTTTTCTGTATTTGCTTTTCTGTACTTGCTGTTTGTTACACTGTATGAGAGTTTCGTTCCAAGTCCCTGGACTTCACCTTCGACCAGAATCACGAACGGTGCCACGAACAACCTAAGCCTCCAGACCAGAGGCCGATGGAGGGGTCCCCGAAGGGCAGAAGGATGTGAGGCTAATTGTTTTTTTCCTCTCTTTTTCATTATTTTTATTTACTTGATAAGTGTTCCTTTCTTTTTCATCTTTTATTATTAGCCAATAGATGGTAGCACAGCGGCTCAGTGGTTAGCACTGCTGCCTCAGCGCCAGGGACCTGGGTTCAATTCCACCCTTGGGTGACTTTCTGTGTGGATTTCCTCTGGGTGCTCTGGTTTCCTCCCACAGTCCAAAGATGTGCAAGCTAGGTGGATTAGCCATGCCTGTAGTGTTCAGGGATGTGTAGATTTGGTGGGTTATGAGGGATGGGTCTGGGCAGGATGCTCTGATTTGTTGGTCCAAAGGGCCTGTTTCCACACTGTTGGGATTTTATGTTCATATTTAAGCAAATTGCTGTTGTAGAGTCTTAACTACATTTAGCAGAATCCAAAATAACTGCTTGGATACACTTTGTGATCCAAGACAGAGGGCAAAGTGACTCTTCATATTGTTATAAGAAACATAGGTTTAAGAGCATGGTTAAAACTACACAAAGGACACCAGGTTATAGTCCGAGATAACAAGGTGTAGAGCTGGATGAACACAGCAGGCCAAGCAGCAGAGGAGCAGGAAGGCTGACGTTTCGAGCCTAGACCATTTCTGAAGAAGGGTCTAGGCCCGAAACGTCAGCCTTCCTGC